TTGTGGCCTGAACGAAAATTTGACGTTGAATTCCATTGCCCGGCTGGATGGCCTGAGGGATGGCCTGCAAGGGACTTGTTAGGGTTTAGGGTTTAGGGCTTAGGGTTTAGGGGTTGTTTTGGTGGTTGAACCTAGTAATGGAAAAGAAAATGGAAACTACTAATAGGGTATATATTGGGGTTATATTGGGGGTTTAGAGCTTAGAGGGTTTAGGGTTTAGGGGTGAGAGTTACTTGCAACACATCCCCTATCAAAGGAGGGAACCCCAGAATTACGTAGTGGGACATAGAATCCCCTCATGATCCCCAACCAAGGCAGTCATGTCATTGGTGGGTGTATACAGGGCTCCTGGGGAGCTTTGGTGAATACATTTTGCTGGTGCCTTTTGGGGCCCACAAAGCTAGACTCCGTGGGCTCATAGCTCCCACTCGCACTCTGCATAGTAGTTTCCATTTGATTTTCCATTATCGCAATATACCCCCAATGTTACCTTTATGGGTCGAGTGTTGGCATCTCGAGCTGCACCAGAAGGCTGTTGTTCAAAGCCTATCAGGAGCAGTATACACGTCCTCCTACAAGAACCACAAGAGCATGCTGATTTAGCAGCCCCAGAGCTCTGTTGAAATGCGAGCACCTGTATTCAAGTAATTCTTACCTCACCTATTCTTAGCGCCGCTACGGCTATCCCCACTGAGCTACGAAATCTCCAAATCATCCGCGGTTTAGGGTTTACTAGTAGGGTAATGTGGAGTATAGGGTTTGGAGTCCCCTAACGTCCAAGACAGGCCGCGTCGCCATCGCCGCAGTCGACCCCGAGAAGTGGTTGGCCACGCTGGGATTCTTAGGCCTGGATCACTCGGCTTGTTCATGTGACCACCACAACTCTCATGATCATGATGTGGGGGTGTCCAACAATTTGGGATCCCTTTATGTGGATCACTATCATAATGATTATTTGTAGCATGTCGAGATCTATTGAGTTTTGGAAGACTTTGAAAACTCCAGCTACAATGTCTGAAGCACGGGGCAGGCGATGATGACTTGGAAACACCAAGCGATGGTCAGGCCTCTTGTCCAGCACGGCTCTTTGAAAGACATGATGTTGTAGTTTCCATTTTCTTTTCCATTCCTCTACACACCCCTATATACCCCCTTCAGCGGGCAGAGAGGTTTTCTATTTAAGGCATTTAAGGGGGAGTGGGATGCAGGGAAAAATGATCAAGCAAAATGTCTGAGCTGCTGAAGTGACCAAGGTTGTGGCAGTACTTCCGCAGAATGATTCTTGACTGAAAGATGCTGCCCTGCTGCGCCGCAGCTACTCAGACATGAAGATCTATCAGGATCATTTGTTATAGATGCAGATACTGCAAGTTTTGCTCTTGAGGATTTCGACTCCTTGGTCAGCCTTGGGCCAATGAACTTCCTTTTTCACTCGGCAGATATTCCGCGAGCTCTTCCGGCAGCAGAGAGCACACAGCCGATGCCCATCGCAGAGGTCACTTAGGGTCCAGCCTGCAGCTTGCAATGGCAATCTCAAGGTTTAGTGTTTAGGGACAGCGGCTTGGATTGAAGGATGTGGTCACTGACTTGAGCCCGGACCTCATGCTGAGTGCTTCTGAGATGGCTGCGACGGGCAACACAAGTTTCACTCCAAAGCCGCGACCAAAGCCCAAGGCTACTGGTTGACGCAAAGTGCTCACGTGTTGAACGAGCATGCTTGCCAAAAGGGCATTAGCCCTGAGAAATAGCTTTCTGGACAAAACCATTGCGTTTTGAACTAAGTCGTTTGAGAATCTCTGAAAAGGTTCTGCAGCTCTTGTGGCCTGGCACGATTCTATGTAGTAGATGCCAGGCAGTCTCCAAAGTTTCTCAAGCATCTGAGACGTCAGTGGCATCGATCTCGCAAGAGGCCAGCTCCAAAACAACCCCTAAATAACTCTATTATCATGTAGTAGCTGCCATTTTTCCACTATCCCTAAACAACCCCAATCTATATACCCTATATAGTCCCATAAGATGGTAAAATTACCCCCTGGTTCTGGGCACACAGCGGGCCATACTCCGAGTTGCTTTCAGGTGTCTGAGCTTCGCTCAGCGATGTCGTCTGTGCACATGGAAGAGCTGGAGCGGAGTGTCCAGGCGCAGCTGAAGGAGCTGGACCAGGCGAGGATGAGCCCGGAGTCTGACGAGTCTGCAAGTCTCCAGCGCATCATCACGGCTGGTCTCTGGGACTGACGACTTGATATCGTCAGGCTTTCGCCGACCGCTTCTCCGCGCTAGAGTTGCGGATATCTGCACGGCTGGAAGCCTCAGAGAAGTCTGCCAGCGAGGCGGAGGACAGCGGGACAGCGCGGGGGGTCGTTGCTTGAAGGGAAACCGCCCGCAGAACTCTCGGCTGGCCAGGAGCAGCGAGCTTCAAGGGCTGAGCAAGTCGAGACGCTCCAGCAGGCCTGTCTCAAAACTCACGTCCTCACTGCTTCACCTGGCATTGCATTGCCGTTGTTGCTGAGGCCCTGCAGGCTGCCCACAGTTTCGAAGAGGAGCTCCGCAGCGAAGTGAGACGTGTGCAGGAGGCCTCCGATGCAGCCGCCTCAGCGTGTTTGTCAAACCGCAGCCGAGCGACTGCGTCGTGCTGTCTTCAGGCAGCCACAGCCGAGCGACAGCGCTTCGAAGAGTCGTTGGAGTCTCTGCAGGCAGCAGGAGAGCACCAGGCAGGGACCAAGGGGTCTGTTGCATGGCCTAGCTGGGCCTAGCTGTGAGAAGTACTCGTACCAAACTTTGCTGCGTGGATAGAAGAGGCGGCCTCACTTGCGCAACATCATGCTGAGATGACCACGGCTTTGGAGAGACTTTCCGAAGCCGAGGCGGGCATGTCTTGGCTGAACTCACATGCAAGTGGCTGTTAGGGACTGCCAAGCTAGCCGAAGCACCTCCGCTCTGCAAGCGGACCAGGCTGCCATCGCAGAGCTTGGTTCAAAGGTGCGCAACTCCTCGAGCAACAACATGAGGTTTTCCTAGACCTACAAGCCTCCTGTCACTGAGAGGGCCATGAAGCAAAGAAGCTGGAGGATCGGTTGACTGCACGCCGTGGCCTCACATTTTTTCGCAATCTCATGAGCTGCGCCGTTATACATCATCACAATTTAGGGGTTTAGGGCTGCTGGATGTTTGATGTGAACACCCGGTGCTCTATTGTCATCATATAGGACTCTACATGAAGTGAGATCACATGTGTGATGATGCTTTGCTGAGGAGTGGAAGCCGTCGAGGCCCTTCTAACTGGTAGCAGGCCTTAAAGTTTGCGCTTCGTATGCCACTGCTACGGGAGGGCGTTTGCATGCCTCAGAATCCTGGACTTCTCGCATGTCCAGGAATAGCGCGCAGACTGTCCAGGCCAGTTGACACTCCTGTTGCAATTTGCTGCATCCATTTAGATTTGAGCTATAGTCTAAGCTCGTGGTATCCCCCTTAATATCCCCTACAATAGTCCCCTACTAAATCACCTATATAACACCCTTTAAAGAGGCTAGACTTTGGCTCAGTTGGCTTTGTGGTGGGAGTGTTATGGAGCGTTCTCTGAAGGAGCAGTTGTCCGCCCTGGAGCAGATCTTGGAGGACACAGCCAGCCTCGTGTGGCAAGTCTACCTGCTGGTGCTTACGGGGGAGTGGGGGAGTGAATATAGGTACCATTGTAGGAGTACAGACTATATATATATATATGAGAGAGTCGCCTTTAGGGTCTATTTGTCCACTTCTATTTTGTTATAGATAAATGGCTGCTCGCACCATCAACTTTCCGCAACATCAACTGATTCAACTGCCAACCATTCCGCACAACTGCTTGCTGCTCTGGAGTGTTTTCGACTTTCCCAGTGAAGATGATTATTCTTGTGGATTCAGGACAACTCATGCATTGCTGGGCTGCGCACGATTCCGGATTAATCTTCCAGTTCACGTCCGGCAACTTCAGAGTGGAGTAGAAAATCCACATGGTCCGGAGGCAGTCTGTATGAATATACATGAGCTCTTCACAGAACGTATGTGCGTGAGCTTTCGCTTAATTCCCGTACGGAGAGCCTATGAGTCGCGGTATTTTCTTCTGGCAACGCAGATGTAGCTTATGTGGGATCGACGTCACTTGGCGGTGCATTTGAGCGGCTTTCTACTTGGACCAGTACGCCTGGACACAAACGACTCGCCGGGTCCATCATCGCGCGCAAGCCCCTTTGTGCGGACGGTAAGCGCGAGGCGGGCTCGCAAGAATCAGGCGGTCACGGTTACTCCTTTGCTGAGTCCAGTAATGCCAGCGACCTCACATCGTAGAGAGCTACAGATGTGCAGTCTGCCCAGTTTGTTCTACCTGGATCTGCAAGGAACATGCCGAACACGAGCCAGGTGCTGAATGTCCTGGTTGCACTGGCACTCTGCGCGCTTTTCTTGGTGGTTCACTTCGGCGCACTGACAGAGTACTGCGGCAAACTTGTGATTGCGTGGACATTAAGATCCCGGAAACTAACAAGTTGAATCACGACCTGCAGAACAACATTTTGCAGTTCTACAGCGCCGCGCTGCAACGTCATCCGGCGTGCCAAACGACGTTGCGAGCATGTCTGGAACAGAGTCGCATCCGAATCATCATCATTTCATATTGTGCACGCGCTGCCGGAAGATGTATTCTGGGCTGAACGCATATCCCACGCTCTCAACAACTGCTGTATCTAAGTTGTGGCATGAGTGGCTTTGCAGAGGCAGGCTCACATAGGTTGGCACTGTATCCCCGAAATAACGATGCAAGTGCCGCTCAGTATTTCAAACGGATAGTGAACTACAAAAGCTCTGGTGCTTTTGTGACAGAGCTATCAAGATCACTGGCATTTTCATGCATTGTGTGTGATGGACTATTTGTTCTGACTAGGAAACCTTGATGATATCAACATATCAAGTAGAATTATTATTGTTTGGAAATACTCGAGTGATGTGGGATGTTGAGCATATTTACTAATGCAACGTCAAATTGATTCTCATTGGCTTCATGTCTTTATTTTGTATATGTTCCTTTATTACGAATATCACTATCCTTCAGGCGATGTTAAACTTCTGGCCGCATTGGGTAGTGCTGCATATAATATCCTGAATAAAAAAATATATCTTAAACCTTCAATAGCTATTATGGCTACTATTATAGATTGAAGGACGCATACACCCAAAAGGTGACGGGCTCATTATATATATATATATGTATGGGCATTATATAGGCAGTCTTGTAGGGATCCACTCCCCCACTCCCTTAAGCCTCAGTAAGTCTACAGCGGATGCCTGGCAGGAAAAGCACCAGCAGTCCGTGAAGGAGCTGCAGAAGTTCAGCACGGAATGTAAGGAGGAGCCACAGCCTTTCGAACCAGGGTTTGGGGTTTAGGGTTTAGGTCAAAGCTGCCCACATGCTCGCTCAGGCTTGCATTCGCCACGTCCAGTTGGGCAAGGATCGTGAACTGGCAGGCTGAGGCCGGAGAAATCCTGTATCCAGATCCATATTTGGAAATTCCGAGATTGTGGTGGCCTCTCCAAAGGCACTGCCTGCCGATGGAGCGACCTGCTTGCATTCAGGTTGATGTTGCAAAGCTGCAGAAAGACGGCAAGCTAGACATCGCCAGGCCGCAGCAAGCTAAGTCTAAGAAGTGCATAATAATACGAATTTGAATCCTAACAGTAACAATGACAATAGTTTACAATAGGAATGATAGTAATAGTAATGATAATAGTAATAGTAACCAGTAATAGTAATAGTAATAGTAATAGTAATAGTGATAAGAACAATAAAGAAGTCTCTGCATCTTGTGTGGGCCAGTCCCAGCTTCGCAGCTGCGGGGTTGCAACGTCTGCAGCTTCATCTGCGCCTTCAGGCGTCAGCATGCCTGCATTGCATTATATACGACCCCGTACTATCCCCGTAATACCATATAAAACCCCTATATTATCCCTGACATATTAAATGAAACCCGCTGGAATCAAGATTCGTGGTTTTTGTGCAAGAGCTTAATTTAAGTTCCTGCAGTAAGGAAACCCTATTGTCTACCATAAACAATATTACGGTTTCTTAGTTTCAACAGCAACCCAGCAGCATGCCTGCATTATCGCGCGTTTGCAGCTGTGCTGTCATCCAAGTTGGCCCGGCCGAGTTGTTACGAGAAGGATTGCAATGAACAACATCAGATACCTCGGCTCAAAGAATTTGCAGCATGCGCCTTGCACAGAATCAGTTCCGAACGGAGGCAGGCACCCTGTTGTGCTGGTGTACAACTCAGTGCGAAGCAGCTTCATGACAGCAACAGCAGGCTCCCAGCCGGCAGATTCAGAGCCTGCTGTCTTGGGGCACTTCACCTGGAGATGCTCTCGCACCTTAGCTGAAGTCAACTTCCTTGGCGACCAGACACAGGGAGCCTCAGCCTGAAATGAGGATGCTCCACCAGAGCTGGCAGAGTGGATGCGGCAGCCGCGGCACACCACCACCGCTTTGTCCACCGTTGCGCACACCAAGGGCGCGGCTACAGCTGTCATGGTGCTCCGGCGCCTTCAAGCTGCCAGGACACCAAAGCATTACTAAAAGCTCCCTTCTTGAGCACACGATGAAATGCTGAGCCTTGACAGGACTGAGATAAATGCGTTGCACTTTGGCAGCGTGATCTCTGCATGTAGCTTGAGGGGCGATTGGCAGTTAGCCTGTAGCCTGTTCCTTGTTTGCAGCGAGGTGAAAGCCCCTTTGTATTTTTCCTCAAATGATAATACTGTGTAAGCTCTATATCATCCCTATAATGCAAACCCCCTATATTATCCCTCTAGAAGGAACCGCCATACAATCCCCAAGCCCTACACACTAAATACCATAGTAGTTTCCATTTTCTTTTCCATGATATCCATAGAGTATAGATCCCCATACGACCCCTAAACCCTAAAAAAAACTCTTACCCATATAAAAGCTGGCTCAGGCTTCAGGAGATGTTGGGCTCCAAGATCCAGCCGGCCGTCGTAGCCTACAACAACGTTTTGAACGCCTGCTCAAAGGTGGCCTAAGGAAACCTAGGGTTTAGGGTTTAGGGCTTAGGGTTTAGGGTTTAGGGTTTAGAGTTTAGGGTTTAGGGTTTAGGGTTGTAGGGAATCATGGAAAATTGAGGCTACTATTTGGGGCTTAGGGTTGTTTAGGGTTACTGGAAGTGAACATTTAAAAGGAAAAGAAAGCTGAAACTACTACAGTAAATTAGGGACACATACAGGGATATCATCCTTACTCGCTCTCACGGATACGTACTGGCTATCAGTAGACTTAAGGGTAGGGTTTGGCGTTCAATGTTACTAGGGAAGAAGGGAAAATACTCCCTTGGGTATGTATTCCCTATATAACATATTCCCGTGTTCCCGCCTAAGAACCAGTAAGAAGGGGCGGCGCTGGCAACTGGCTGTGGCCGTGCTGGGTGGCATGGACACATGCCTGGGCAATTGATAGCTTTTTTCTCCGGCATTTATGAGTCTCACAACATCCTTGTCATCACGCTGCGCAATCCCAGGGAAATGCGTGTTTGTGTTTATCTACAGGAGGGAGCTGTTAGGCGGCATTAAGATTTTGTGAGCCGAGGTAGCAGCGGACTGCTTCGACCATATCAGCTTCGGTACTTGCATCAGCGCCTGTGCGAAGTGTGATTTGTGGCAATCCGCAATGCAGCTTTTGCACTGGCTGACAGATGAAGAGCACCTGGGCCAATTAGACTACAGCTTGCGGGGTATATTGGGGTTATAATGGGGTAATATTTAGGGATAATGGAAAAGAAAATGGAAACCACTATAATGGGTTACGTTGGGGTAACATGGGATAATTCAAAATAAAATGGAAGCTACCATTAAGGGTTGATGCTGAGCTTCAGCCTTCCGCTTGTCCCTGTCGTGTGCCTTCAGCAGGCACATTTTGACTGGCTAAGGTTAACGCCAAACACCATCAGTTGCAACTCTGCGCTCAGTGCTTGTAGTGCAAGCGGGAATTGGCAGATTGCTCTGCACGTGCTCAGAGGCATGAGCGATGCAAATGCTCAACCCGACCAAATTAGCTGCAATGCAGCTCTCAATGCATGTCGAACTGCAGGTGACTGGGTTGCTGTTAAGGAACTTAAAATAAGTTACCATAATGGGGAAACCCTGTTATTTACTATATATACCCATTATGGTAACTTAATTTGAGTTCCTTAACAGCAACCCAGGTGAGTGGCTACCAGCCTTGAGCTTATTGCAGGAAATGCCACGCATGAGGGTGGCACCCGATGAGATCACGTACAACTGCGTCATAAGCTCATGTGAGAAGACAGCAAACTGGCGAGTCGCCTTAGATTCTCGGTTCTTCTTGAACACCACTTTACGTTTTTAAGTAAACCTGGGCGCAGTACAGATTAAAGATGATCATTTCAAATAGTGTTTCAACAAGAACCCAGGATTTACTTGGGGCAATGCAAACCTCAGAATTGCAGCTAGGCACCGTGGCTGCCAGCTCGGCGATGAGCGCATGCCGTGCAAGTGGGCGTTGGCAGGATGCTCTTTGGTTGTCTCAAGTGACTGGGTTGCGGTTAAGGGACTGTAGTTAAGTTACCGTAATGGGTACACATTGTCAAAAACAGGGTTTCCGCAATATAGTAATTCAAATTAAGTTCCTCAACAGCAGCCCAGGTGATGGCTGATAGTTTCGTCCAAGCAGATCAGATCAGCATGACCACCCTCATTGGAGCTTGTGACAATGGCGGGCGCTGGCCAGTTGCTCTTCACATCTTCCAACAGCGAGACCTTCCAGATTTCGACATTGCGTTTGCCAGCGCTGCCATCAAGGCTTGCTCGACGAGAGGCCAGTGGCTTGAATCTTTCCAGCTCTTCCAGGACATGTTGGACGCAAGCAGGAAACCTGATCTTCTTTGCTACACAATGCTTGTTCATGGATACGGAAAGGGCAGCCAGGTGATGCTTGCATCTGAGCTGTTGCAAGAGTTGCCAAAGCGCTCGCTGACCCCCGATGCAGCTGTTTACAACTCGGTGATCGGTGCCTGTGCAGGCCAGAGTTGGCAGCAAGCTTGTGCTTTACTTACTGAGATGCAGCAAGCAATCTGCCAGCCAAACAAGCTAACGTGGACGACCCTGTTGGCAGCAGTGCAAGAGGAAGGACAGTGGCATGCGGCGATTGAAATCCTACGTCAGATGGTGGCGGCTCAAACGGCCCCAGATGCAGCGCCACTTCCTCAAACTTTCATACCAAGACACCCGCTGCTGGACTTTGTGCAAACAAGCATGCTGTGGTCGCGCAATTGAGGTCTTACCGAGGCGTCATGGAGTCAATCGCAACAATCGCAACCTGGCCGCGCAACTATTGAATATAGTAGGTTTGCTGATCCTGATCTCAGATCTAATTTCCATAGCCAAATTTTCTCCCATCAGAGCATGTTTTTAGGAGCACCATGTGATGATGCCAAGGATCCCACAAGCGGATGGCAACTTGCGGCACAGCTGATTTCGGATGCGTTTGAAGCTCATTCAGTAGATGCTGCTTTGGCCGATGTGGCCATGCGTGCCGCTTGCTCGGATTGGCTTGAACTGAGAGCTCGCCACATTCTCACTCATGCGCACACGCCACCACTTGCTACAGGTATTCAGCCTCAGCAGCGCTTGGGCTGCCAGCCTGCACCTTGTCGAGGCCTTGCAGGAGTGCAGGGTTGGGCTGCAGCATGCGGAGACCAAAAACACGTACTTGTAGCTTCTCCTCTGCCCCTGCCAGGAGGTTTCGATTGAAGCGGATGGACTAGCTAGCCACGTAATAGTTGGTGCCCTGAGCGAAAGTGTCGGGAACTGGCAAGCTGGACTAGCATGGCTGTGCCGCATGTGGGAGCAGAAATTCTCCAGCCCCAACGCAGCAGCCAGGATGCATTTCTTGAACATGCTCTAGTGGTTTCCATTTCACGTTTCACGTCCTTTTCCATTTGATTCTCCAATAATGGGATATGAACCCCTAAGTAGCTATCAGTTTTGACAACTGGGTAGATCATGTCATGTGAGCTACAGTCTAAACTCCTTAAAGGGTTTTCTAAGTGACTATATAGGGGGCTGAGGGGGATACTAGGAGTTCAGACTATGGCTCATGCAATCCATTGCTATCTGGCTGAACATGCAACATACTATAGTATCTTCCATTTTCTTTTTCCATTATCCCTATATAACCCTAAACCCTAATCCGTAAACCCCAAACCCTAAACCCTAAACATAGTGGTTTGCATTTGGCTGAACATGTTGGCCAGGCTGACTTCACGGCTGTGCTTGCAGCCTGTAAGCCAAGCGGCGCTTGGCAAGCTGCCTGGTGGCTACTATTGGAGATGCAAACCCGCCAGCCGCTGGACACTTTGAAGTTACTACTATTATTGTCACTATGATTATTGCTGCTATTTTATTACTACTCCTATTATAGTAGTATTGCAAGTTTTGCGTCTGACGCGCTTTGCATTTAAAGTATGCCAAAAGCTCTGCACTGAGGCTTGTTCCAAAGGTTACGGCCTTTAATGGAGTTATCCATGCGGCTGATAAGGCCGCAAGCAGAGTGCTGCGCATTTGCTGCATGTTTGCTGCGCGGGTCCTATTGGGTGCAGGCTGGAGAGTGGAAGCTTGCAGCCCATGTGTTGGCGGCCATGCCGCAGACCAGTGTGTCACCAAACATAGCCGGATCCCTGGTTTGAGAAAGCAGCAACACACAACGCATGCCATACCACCAGCGCTGAGGCTAGTTACAATTCGGCCATCAGTGCATGTGAAGCAGCGCGAGAATGGCAGCAAGCATGCGCAATCCTGTTCTCCATGAAGAGCAGAAGACAAGCAGCTGATCAGATATCCTTCAATTCAGCCATCAGTGCCACTGAGAAAGCTGGTCAATGGGAGCAGGCAGTTCAGCTACTGGTGGCGATGTCGGAAGAGTCCATCAATCCCGACACAATCTCCTTCAATGCCGCGATCAGCGCCTGCGCAAGACCTGGGGAGTGGCAGATTGCCCTCGCCCTTGCAGCTTCAATGGACAAGCGCGGAATAGCCCGTGATGAAATCACCTACAACTGTGTGTCGAATGCCTGCGAGAAAGCCAGCTGTTGGCAGTTGGCTTCAGACTTATTGTTGCAGAGGAACAGCCCAACAAAAGTTGGGCAGCTTGTGTACCAGATTTGCAAAAACGGAGTCAGTGCCTTGGATGACCTGCCAGCACTGACGACGGCAGAGGCCTCGCAAGTGGTCTGGCGCTTGGCGAAGCTTTCGAGATTGGGCTTGCCTTCATCCTTGGCATCGTCTCCTCTGCACGCGGCTGCGATTGCAGAGGCGGTGGTGGCGGCCGAGGGCGCCGACGCATTTGACTTGCAGGAACTGAGCGCAGTGCTTTGGTCGCTTGCCCGCCTTGGTGTTTTGGATGCATCACTGGTGCTGAAGTTGAGCCAAAGATGCACCAGACAGATGGCCATTGGAGGAGCACGGGGTCTCAATATCCGAAGCATGGCAAATTTGGCATGGGCCTTGTCATCATTGCCTGGTACAGATGCAGCTGGCACCTTTGGCCAACTTCAGAATGAACTTGCTCATCGAGCCGTTCACCTGCCGACTGAATCCATGTCGCAGGCGTCATGGATAGAGTTTGCCACAGCGGCATTTGCCATCCTCTATGCTGCAGATTTTGCAGGCCAGCTATTGCCAAATGCTGCTCGCGCCGTACGGTCAGTGCTTGTCGGCCATGGTGCCCGAATGGATACAGGACTGGGTTGCTGTCGCGGAACTTAAATCAAGTTACTGTATTTGGTAAACCCTATTAATTGCTGTATGTATACATATATATATAGAGAGGTATATATATATATATAGTTACTATATTGGGGAAACCCGAATATTCACTATGTATACCCATGATGGTAACTTAATATAAGTTCCTGAACAGCAACCCAGAGGACGACTCCTACCACTCGAGGATCCCTGGGTTGACAGGATTGACCAGGGGCGCGAGCCTTGGGAGCCTTGGGCACAGGAGGCTTCAGGCATCCTGCTGATCCGGAAGCCGCCCCACTGGCAGGTGAGCCATAGTCTAAACTCCTTACGGGGGGGCTATATGGGGGATTATATAGGGCAATACTATATATAGGGTTTATTCAGGGTGATGCTAGGAGTTCAAAATATAGCTCAGGTGGATGAGCGAGATGCAATTCACGATGCGGAGCAGTTCTCGGACGATCGTGGACTGCTCTCTGGCTTCGTGCAGTCGGTCCGGCCAAGCCGCCAGCGGCCCATCCTGGGGCGGCCCGACCACCAGCGAGGATTCCTGCATCGCCTCGATGTGCCCAGCTCGGGCTTGATTCTGACGGCCACCTCTTTCGAAACGTTCTACGATCTTAAGTTCCAGCTGGCTACTGGGCTGTTGACCCGGGCATACATAATCTTGTGCCACGGGCTGTTGAACTTCTCCAGAACCAGAATTCGTTCTCCCATAAACTGGTTATCTTATGGCCCGGAGTCAAACAGACGGAGCTTGGTGCAAGACAGCGGAAGGCCTTCACAGACTCGTACGAAATCGCTAGCTCGAGCATTCCACGGCCAGAGGGCTTTCACCTTGGTTCGCGTGCAGATTATGACTGGCCGACGACACCAAATACGGGTTCACAGCTGCTACATTGGGCACCCCACGCTGACAGATGGGAAGTACACGTCTAGAAGCACTTACGCTGAGGACACCGATTGGCGGCTTAGCTTTGTGTTTATGTTGCTGTCGTTGGCTGGATGTGTTATGGGTAGCAGTTGGATAAACTGTCGTAGACATGAGCTCAACATGTAAAACATGAAGGCAAATTTCTTACAGGCATAAGCGGCATAGGCTTGAAGTTGGCAGCCTGTGCTTGCATGGAACCAGACAAATCTCCCAGGTGTCCAAGAAACTTCTTGCACCGGCACAAGCTTGTTTTTGAAGTTGCCGGCAGCGAGTTCCAGGCTACCGAGGACCTCGGCACAAGTTGATCCTGTCAGGTAAGAAGACAGCGCTTCAGACTAGTTGGTAATTTCCAAGATACGGGGCGCCCCCATATAGACGCCAAAGTACTACCATCCTGGTCGTTGGGAAACCCCAAGTTGTTCCAAGACGTCTAGGGCCTTACAGCGAGGAATTGCCACCTGATCTGGACCGCGTCCTCCAAAAGCTAGACCTGCAGGCGGGAAGCATCTAATCAAGAATATGCAATAATCTACAATAATACAAAGTAGTATGCTACAATAAACTATAGTATAGTTTATTATAGTATACTATGGATAATATAGTATAATATAACCTGGTATAATAATATAGATCAAGCCGGTCAACCTATCAGTCTGGGCACCCTGTTTCTCTGTGTTTCAACTGAGGTGGGCAGCCAATCTACTGCCAATGCTTCAAAACATCCATTGGAGACTGGGTTGCTGTTAAGGAACTTAATTTGTGTTACTATACCCCCCATAATGGAGAACTAAATGGAAAAGAACATGGAACATGAAATGGAAACTTAGGGTAATATGGGGATTTTGGGACTAAATTGAGTTAGCATAATTACTTACTAGATGCCCATATTATGGCAACTTCATTTAAGTTTCGTAACAGCAAGCCAGGAGATCATCGATTTCGGTCCAAGACACCATACAAAACCTGCCTTGCGGAAGGACAAACATGCGACTGCCCGCGCGATTAATGCTGGTGCGATTTGCACTGTGTCATGCATTTCTCCATTATTTGGGTGATATCCCCATTATATCCCAACTAATATCCTTTTTTCTGTAATATTTCCCAATAATATCCGAATATATACTTGTAACTTAACAGCCTCCGGCTCAATCC